ATGTGTGTGTGTGTGTGTGTGTGTGTGTGTGTGATTGTTTGTGTGTGTGCCCAAGATACTAAGGGTGGTGTAGAACACTAACGTCTTGATTCTATATTCATTTCTACTTTTACTTGCATTTGATGCTTTTTGTTTATTATTATTCTGTTTTATCAAGTTTTAAGGGTTTGTTTCCATCTCTTGGCAATGCTTTATTTAATTTGTTTTGTACATTTACTCTGTTTATTCAGAAAACACTCCGTTTATGAACTTCCTTCCTTGTGGTTTTATTTAAAGAAATGTGTGGTGGTTAAGTAGCTTTTATTTGTTCCAGTGTTTGTTTAGAAAGTGATAGAAGAGTGTGGGGACCCATTCATAATCTCCGGCTGCTCTCGAAGTTTCTAGGTACCCCCGTGTTCTCAATTACGTCGTATTTCAGCACGTCTCAATGACTATAATTGTTCTCATGGCCTCTGTCTGTCAACTCAGCCCCAGAGAAAACGCTCTCGGAACGAGGAGATAAGATAAGAGACAGGAGGCCACCTATTTTTCAACATATTATATATATTTGCTCCCAGATCCCCCCCCCACCCCATTTCACCCATCCTTTGCGCATGTGTCGGGTCAATTTACGCTTCAGCGTTTATTTATAGTCGGGGAAAAGTATCGGCCTCTTTGTGCCTAGTGTCTACTAGAACTAGGCGAAGAGTCGATTCCAGAACAAATTCCAGTAGTTAGTGTAACGGAAGAAACGTTTCGATTCCATTTTACGTAAACTAACAGTTACGTTTTACTTTATGTTCATTAAAATCTGTAATCTTTTTGTTGAGAATTTATTTTTGATTTTAAAAAAGAAGTTGATGCTTCGCAGTGTCCCGAAATCAAGGTTATCCTAAATCCTGAAGTTGCTCGGAGCCAACAAGGAAACTACAAGGAAAAAACACATAATTAGAAAGTAATTGAAGAATTCGAAGTCGATTCCTACGAGTCCTAGCCTTCAATAATAGGGAACCTAACCGCCCACCACTGAAATGCCTACCAGAGGTAACGTGTGGAGAGGCCCGCGGTGTCAGGCTCAAATCGGGCCTACTCCAAAAGTTTCCAAAAGCCCGAGTTTTTTACGGTGTTGTAAAATAAGATAAAATTAAATACAGCCTAATGAAAATGGTGTAAATATTCAGGGAATATAAATCCCTGAAACGTAGACATGAGACTTTGAGCTGAAGTGGTCTTTGATAGTTTAGATAAATAGTTATTCGCCTCTCCGGTGATATAGATAGCCCATCTATGATGTTTGTCTGTGGGACTTAAGCAGGCGTCCACCCACACAATGTATCTTGTTCTTCCGGACCAGGCACGCGCAGGTATGGGAGGGGGCGGGAGCAAGGTGAAGAGGAGAGGGTTAGTGG